TGCGATAGAACAACCCTAGGGCCCTCGGTGGACCGAAAAATCACGAAAAACTGAAACTTACCGGCGGTGGTGCTCTCGGGTGCAGCGGCTCCTCCGGTGTGAGTCGCGTTTTGATGTTTGGCTCCGATCAACCTGTAGAGAAAAGAACGATGATCACAGTGGTATAAAATTTGCATCAAACGGAGGCCGAGAAGGGCCTTATCGGAGGCAAAACCCGAGGAGGACGCGGCGGCGCCGCTGGGTTTCGGCTGGATTTTTCAGCCGTTTGGCCGGTGGTTTGGCTCCGGTTTGGCCATAGGTGGACTCAGCATCGAAAAACGAGCAAGGGAGAGAAAATTTACCTCGATCAACGGTCGGAAACTTCCCTGGTGCGGCGGCCGGCTCCTCCGGCGTCTGGTTCTTCTTCTCCGGCGAGCACTGGCGGCTAGGGTTTCTTTGGTCAGGTGTGAGTGGGGATATTTATACCCTTTGCCTTTTAATCTCAACCGTCCATCAAGATTAAATCTGGACCGTTCGATCGCGATTTAATTGGGATAAAATCTTGGCCGTCCATCGCGATGCAATCTGGGCCATCCGTGCGCGTGAATCTGGACCATCCATGCGTACGTTTGATCTGGGCTGTCCATGCACGCGGGAACGGATCTGGGCCGTTCGATCGCGCGCATGCGGATCGCCCACGTGGCCCGTCTCCTGGTCAGTGTTTCCTTACCACGCGGCGTATCCTGGTTGGCTGGGGCTGCTGACCGGGCCGCTGACGTGGCTGCTGACGTGGTGCTGACGTGGCACAACTTTTTTAAATTGTGTTTTGACCCCCCGATTTCCGATTTTCTTTTCAAAAACACCCCCAGAATTTAAATTTTCACACTTTTTTTCCAAAATCAATTTCAATTAAATCCAAATAATATTTTTACCCAATTTTATCATTATTATTATTTTTATTTTCATTAAATTAAATCAAATTAAATTAAATTAAATTAAAAATCAAATATAATTCCAATAATTACAAAATAAAATAAATAAAATAAATTGAAAATAATAATAATAATAATAATACACTTGGGGTGTTACAACTCTCCCCCCCTAAAAGAAATTTGATCCCCCAAATTTGCCTCTTACTCTTGGTCGAACAAATGGGGATACTGGGCTATAAATTCTGATTCCAGCTCCCAAGTAGCCTCCCTGGGCGTGTGGTTCTGCCACACGACCTTTACAAATGGTATTTCCCGGTTGCGGAGTATTCTACTCTTTCGGTCCGTGATACCGACTGGTACTTCTTCATAAGACAAGTCCTCTTGGAGTGGAAGCGGTTCATGAGCCAAGACATGAGAAGGGTCCAGGTTGTACTTACGTAGCATGGATACGTAGAACACGTTGTGGACTCTGGAGAGCTTTGGAGGCAGTGCTAGTCTGTAGGCAGCAGTACCAATCATGTGTAAGATTTCAAATGGTCCAATATACCGGGGGTTTAATTTTCCCCTCCTGCCGAACCTACTAATTCCCTTGAAAGGAGTGACCTTAAGAAACATTCGGTCGCCTTTCTCAAACGCTAGGTCTCTCCTCCGGGTATCTGCATAACTCTTCTGCCTACTCTGAGC